ATCCAGCAATATATGTCACATATCGGGACAGAGATGTTTGGTGGCGACTATTACTGGTGGCGCGCAGTTAGCAATCATAAGAGTGGATGAAAACCTGGACGATGTCTATAGAAATATACACAAACACCACATAACCAGTGCTTTCCTAATCCCAACACAACTTAACTATTTGGCCAAAAATCATGAGACCATTGATAGGGATTACCTGAAGAGTCTACGAGATGTGATGACCGGCGCCGCACCCTTATCTGAGTCGACCTATCGATGTATTGTCGATAAGTATAAGTTTGAAAAGTTTAGGATTTGTGAGTAGTTTTTAATTCTTTATACGCTTTTGGTTTTATACTTAAAAATATATTATATTTATGACAGGTTACGGTATGTCTGAGGTAGGGTGGGCCACACAAACTCCCATTTCGCAGCCGGTTGATAGTAATACAATTGTTGGCAAAGTGTGTCCCAACACACAAATCAAAGTAATCGATGATCAGGGACAATCACTGCCAGCTAACACTAATGGTCAGATTTGCTTTAGAGGTCCTCAGGTAATAGAATTAAAATAACTTTTGGCTAATCTATTATTTTTTAATACCTTTCACTGATTAATAAAATGAGTTATTAGTAATAATCCGTTATAAATTAAATCTCATATACATGCTTATAGACAACACCAGGGTATCTGAATAACCCCGAAGAAAATAGTAAGCTTTTTACCAGCGATGGATTCCTCAAAAGTGGAGACATTGGATATTATGACGACAATCACTATTTCTATACTGTCGGCCGATCTAAAGAAGTCATTAATGTTGAGAGTAAGTGCACCTGGACATAAATATACAGAAATATTCATTTATTATAAAATTATATGTGATTTTATATACAAATCTGAACCAAAGGGTCGATTGTAATGCCGGCGGAGATCGAGAATATTCTGTTGACACACAACGATGTCGTCAATGCGGCCGTCTTTGGGGTGAAGGACGAGGAAAGGGGTGAAGTGCCCATGGCTTTCGTTACACTAGTTAATGGGGTTACTGTCGAACCACAAGAACTCATAGATTATGTCGACTCGAGGGTCAACTACTATAAGAAGCTGAGGGGAGGGATCCGAGTATTAGATGCCTTTCCATTGACTTCATTGAAAAAGATTAACCGGGGTGTGCTTAAGAAAATGCTATATAATTAGCATTTGTCTAATTCAGTACTCATTTTATACTAATAATAATTTTTATTCTGATATTATGAATATTATGTAAATATAAATATTACTTTTATATAAATATATTAATATAATACATTAAAAATATTTTCAAGACATTAGTAACAAATGTAACAATAATAATAATAAACAATAATTCAATATATTTTAATACATATCGGTAATTACAATTTATTTAATACCTCTTTTGTAGTTTAAGCCAGTACATTAAAAGTTAGTCGAAACATATGCTGAAATTATTAGTTAAAACTGTCACCAACTCTCAGATAAGTAGCAAATGTTTTCATTAACACATAATTAGTAACAAAAAATGTGATATATTTATAAAACTCATAGTGAGTGCACACAAACAAATCAAAACAATAAAATCCAATCCTTTTTGCATTCAATTTCTCGATGAACTGCCAAATAGTGAGCCGT